ACAGGAGTGGTGATAGTGGGCATCCCTGTCTTGTTCCTGTTCTTAGAGGGAATGGTTTTAGTTTTTGCCCATTGAGTATGATGTTGGCTGTGGGATTATCATATATAGCTTTTATTATGTTGAAGTATGTTCCTTGTACTCCCACCTGTTGAGAGTTTTTATCAGGAACGGGTGTTGGATTTTATCAAATGCTTTTTCTGCATCAACTGATATGACTATATTATTTTTATCTTTCAATTTGTTTACACGATGTATCATGTTTATTGATTTGCGGATATTGTACCATCCTTGTATTCCCCAAATAAATACTACTTGGTCATGGTGTATGATCTTTGTGATGCTCTGCTGGAGCCGATTTGCTAGAATTTTGTTGAGGATTTTGGCATCTATGTTCATGAGGGATATTGGACTGTAATTCTCTTTCATTGAGTTGTCTTTATCTGGTTTTGGTATTAGGCTGATGCTGGCTTCATAGAAGGAGTTTGGAAGTATTCCTTCCTCTTGAATTTTTTGGAATAGTCTGAGGAGGATAGGTTTTAGTTCTTCCTTGAATGTTTGGTAAAACTCTCCTGTGAAGCCATCTGGCCCTTGGCTTTTGTTTGCTGGAAGCTTTTTGATGACTGTTTCAATTTCTTCCCAAGTCACTGCTCTATTGATATTTTTAGATTCTTCCTGATTGAGTTTTGGAAGGTTGTATTTTTCTAGGAATATGTCCATTTCCTCCAGGTTGTTCAGTTTGTTGGAATAGAATTGTTCATAGTATTTTGTAATAATCCTTTGTGTTTCGGTGGGGTCTGTTGTTATTTCACTTCTTTTGTTTCTGATTTTTTTTTTATTTGAGTCCTCTCTCTTGTTTCTTGGTTAGCCTGGCTAGAGGTTCATCAATCTTTTTTATCCTTTCAAAGAACCCGCTCTTGGTTTTATTGATCTTATGTATTGTTTCTTTGGTCTCTATGTCATTTATCTTGGCTCTGATTTTTATTATTTCCTTCCATCTGCTTACACTGGGTTTTTCTTGTTGCTCTTTTTCTAACTCTTTCAATTGTAAAGTTAGATATTTTGTCACCATTTTTTCTTGTTTTTTTTTTTTTGTTTGTTTGTTTGTTTTTTGGTTTTTGGTGTTTTTTTTGTTTTGTTTTTTTTGTTTTTTGCAATAGGCTTGTAGAGATATGAACATCCCTCTCAAAACTGCTTTTGCTGTGTCCCATAGATTTTGGATTGTTGTGTTTTCATTGTCATTTGTTGCCAGGATGTTTTTCATTTCTTCCTTGATTTCTCTGGTAACCCAGTCCTTATTTAATAGCATGCTGTTTAATCTCCATGTGTTTGATTTCTTTGGATTATTTTTATTGTAGTCAAATTCCAGTTTTATGCCACTATGATCTGAGAAGTTTCTTGATATGAATTCTATCTTCTTGAATTTGAAGAGACTTTGCCTATGTCCCAACATGTGGTCTGTCTTTGAAAATGACCCATCTGTGGCTTTGGGTGAAATGTTGTGAAGATATCAATTAATTCCATCTGGTCTAGTGAGACATTTAGGATTGGTATTTCTTTGCTGATTTTTTGTTTAGATGATTTTTTGTCCAAAGATGACAGTGGGGTATTAAAATCTTCTACTTTGATTGTATTGCTATTAATCTCTCCCTTAATGTCATCCAGCAGTTGGTTGGTTTTTTATTTTATTTTATTTTTTAATGTATTTGGGTGCTCCTGTATTGGGTGCATATATGTTTACCAGGGTTATTTCTTCTTGTTGGATTGCTCTCTTTAGTATTATGAAGTGGCCTTCATTATCTCTTGTTATGTCCTTCACTTTGAGATTTAATTTGTCAGATATAAGTATTGCTACCAAAGCTTTTTTTTTCATATCCATTCTCCTGGAAAACCTTATTCAATCCCTTCTCCCTCAGTCTGTGTGCATCTTTTTTTCTGAAGTGGGTTTCTTATAGACAACGGATATATGGGTCTTGTTTTCTTACCCAATCTGTTACCCTATGTCTTTTGATTGAAGCATTTAATCCATTTACATTTATAGTTATTATAGATAGGTACTTATTTGATGCCATTTTTATTCTATACCCCTGTGTTCCTTCTTTGTTCCTATTTCTTTATTTTTACTGTAGACCCTTTAGCATTTCTTGCATTGCTGATTCGGTGGAGATAAATTCCTTTAGTCTTTTTTTGTCTGTGAAGCTCCTGATTTCCCCTTCAATTTTGATTGATAGCCTTGCTGGGTAAAGTATTCTTGGATTCAGACCCTTCCTTTGCATGACTTTGTATATTTCATGCCATTCCCTTCTGGCCTGGTGAGTTTCTGTTGAGAAATCAGTTGCTAGTCTGATGGGGGTTCCTTTATGTGTAACTTTCTGTCTCTCTGGCTGCTTTTAAGATTCTTACTTCGTTGTTGGTGTTTGCCAATTTAATTATAATGTGCCTTGGTGTCGGTCTTTTGGGATTCATTTTGCTTGGGACTCTGTGAGCATCTTGGATTTGTGTGGGTTTTTTCTTCTGTATCTCAGGAAAGTTTTCTGTCATTATTTCTTGAAATGCGTTTTCCATGTCTTCCTCAGTTTCCTTTCCTTCTTGAACCCCTATTATTCTAATATTGTTTTGTTTTGTATTGTCCCAAAGTTCTCTTAGGCTCTCCTCCTGCTTTTTAAATTTTTTTTCCAGAAGCTTTCCTAATTGGGTCTTTTTTTTTTTTTTTTTTCATATCTTGTCTTCTAGCTCACTGATAAGGTCCTCTGCTTCTTCTAGTCTACTCTTGATGCTTTTTATTGAGTTCTTAACAGTAGTGCTGTCATTTTATATTTCCTCTTGGTTCTTCTTCATTTCCTCTTTGTTCTTACTCATATTGTCAAATTTGTCTTCCATTCTTTTTAGCCATCTTATGATCATTACTCTGAATTCTTGCTCTGGTAGGTTTCTTGCATCTAACTCATTTACTTCCTTTTCTGGTGATGCCTGCTTTTCTTTCATATGCTGGCTGTTTCTATGTCTCCCCCTGATTTTTCTTTTCAGGATGTCTGGTTATATAGTTCTCTCTCTCCCTACTTCCTTCCTCAGTGTATCCCCTGTGTTTGTTGCCTTTGTTTCTTCACCTGTGTACTCGAGTGCCTTGGCCATAAACTCATCCCCTTCACCAATATCTCGTCTAAGGACTGTTCCTGGTGGTCTCCTGCTGCAAAACCTAAAAGCTACTTCTTTGGTGGTCTTATGCCTTTCTGGTCAAATCAACTGCTTGCATACTGAGAGGCAGGCGGGGAGAGGCATGTAGCTGGCACTCAATGAAATCCTCAGGTTTCCCTATTGCCTTCAGAGAGGAGCGCTGGATCAGGGGCTACTGCCGGACACAGACAGCAACTCCAAGAGGGAGCAATTCCAAGAGGTCTGCACCCCTAAGGGAGCCTGTAGCCAGCTGGTGGCAGCGGAGCTAAGTCGTTCATGCACTCACCTCTGTGTTTGTATCTTTCCAGAAGGAGCAGTACAGCCACTTTGGGTGCCAGAGTATTACGTGCATCACCACAATGGACCCTGAGAAGCTCCTTGTCCCATCATTCAAAAGACTGAAAGTTGCCCCGATGACAGCAAAGTGGAAAAGGAAGATGATGAAGGTTGCGCAAGAGACTGAGGTGCCAATATAGATTCAGCTGAAGAACTGAGGCCCAGCAGATGGCAGAAAAGCAAGAAGTGGAAGCTACTCCCTCAACCATGTTTCTGCCCATCCTAGTAATGGTTAGCTGCCAGTCTTCAAACTCTTGCGCAGCCAAGTCCAAGGAATCTTGAGTAAATTAGCAAAAGAAATTTTCATTTAGTAGAAAAATGTTACTGTAGTTTGATTTCTTTATTTTTATGTTGCATTGACATTGTTTTATTAATAGCCATGTCTGGGTTTTGCATTTGCATTGTTTTGTTATTGGGTTTTGCATTGGCATTGTTTTATTAATGTTTTAATAGTCAGAACTTTGTTCTTGCTGTTTAAGTTTTACTTCCATTATTATTAGCTTAAAATTAAAAGAAAGGGTGAGATGTAGAAAATGGTTATAGGGTTAAGCCTCAGACTGACCTGCTGGCAAAGTCGCAAACAAGTACCAGCTTAGAGGGCACAGTCCTCTAAGCATAAAGCTTGATCTTGTGACTGCTCACTAGATCTTTCCTGAGTAGCTAATGGACTGCGGGAGGGGCAGCAAGTGCTGCCAAAACAAGTGAAACTTACAATAACACTGTATTAATAAATTACCTTGTTTGCCCCTGACTATAAATAAAGCATCAGCTTTTCAGTTTGATCTGTTCTGTGGCTTCAGCCAGGCACAGAAGATCCACCTAGACCCAGCTTATTCTCTTGTATATCTTTATTCTTCATCCTTCACTGGCCCTCCCTCAGGCTCACTGAACCCTTGGCTGTTGCTGGCATGGCACATTGACGTATGTAATTTTGGAAAAATGCTGTCATTGCACAGTAGTGACGAATGAGGGGGTAGAACAGACTAGAGGGGATTTTGCATAGTTTTGCATTGATGGAAAAGGGAAGAAGGAAGTTATTAAAAGGCAGACCCATGTTTTTATTCCTACCCCTAAAAAGAAGGTGACAACTCCAAAAGGAGTATGGAGAGACCCTAAAAGATCTGCGGCCTGGCCAGTGTGGCTCAGTGGTTGAGCATTGATTTATGTTTCAGGAAGTCACAGTTTGATTCCCAGTCAGAAAACATGCCCTGATTGGGGCTGAATCTGCAGTAGGCAGTGTGGGAGGAAACCTGTCAATGATATTCTATCATAATTGATGTTTCTATCACTCTCTTCCTGTCCCTTCCTCTCTCTGAAATCAATAAAGACATTAAACATTTTTTAAAGACCTGAGTAAATTTATGGAGAGAATGTGCAAACTCATGCACTATAAGTACTGGTATAAAGTAGTGTGAATTTTTTTTTAGGACAAAAATATTAAAACCGTAAGTATCCTATGAGAACATGGCAATATTTACAAGGTTAACACTCACTGTCTATTTCTGCCTCGATAAGGTAATTGTTTCCAATTGCCATTGCAGTGTTTGAGAAGAGGAAAAAAGCCAGCTTCTCCAAGAGTGTCATCTCTGCAAAACTTGAAGAGATCCAAATAGCTGGAAGGTAGCTGAGACCGTAAATTATGCTTCCAACGGATGAAGCAAAGTATACTGCCAATAGGAGAGAAATAACAAGATTAAGTTAAACAACTGAAAAGTTGAAATACAAATATTTTGGTTTTATTATGAGTGCCCTAAAAGAAGCACATTGAAGATAGACATGGGTCTACTTGGCTCACCACTACTTCTGCCACTACTTCCTCAGCACATTATAAAATGTTTGACACTTATTAAATGCTTAATTTTTTGAATGAATAAAAGATAAAAGTTAAAACACTACTTTTTCTTTGCAGCTTTTAATGGGAATTTACATGTTTAATATCACTCAACATAAAATACTATAAATATTATCATTGGCATAATCAGAAAATACCTAGGTCAGTGGTCACTAACCTTTTGGACCTCCCTTACCACTAAATTAATAATTTTATATCTTGAAGACCACTAATATGATTTTTAAAAAAATACATTGTAAAATAATGATCAGAGAACTTCCATTTTATTAATATGAAATGCACCTATTTGATATAACATTATAAGTAAATATAATAAAAATCTTCAAAGATTGTTTAATTGTAACAAATTTGTTAAAGTAAGTTTAATTTTTACAAAATAATTGAAGCTTATTTAAGTATTACAAAATTTTAGAGTGTGATATTTGCTTTTGTTTCCTTGAAATAAGTTTATGGATATTTGGCTCGAAAGACATTACTGCAAGACAGAGAGCCATATTTATTTCAATCTGAGACTGGTTCTGAGTTTTAATTTCTGTGATGAAAATGTTTTTTTGCACAAATATGTTGTTGAAAATTTAATAAAAATTTTCATTGCTTTTTCACTCAGCAATGGGTATTCACTTTTAATGGAGATACAAAAATGGGGTCTTGATAAAGATGGCTGGAATTTAGCTGTGAAACCATCATTGGATGATAGATCGGTGAGGCTTTCTTTTTCATTAATGCTGAAATTTTTATTTTCGATATTTGCCACAAATGGATCTATTACCTATGTATTGCCACTTCTGGGATCTTCTTTCTTTGGGTAATAACTACCAAAATATTCTGTGAGTGATTGTAAGTGCCGTTGAACAATGGTTGCCACCTGCTGATTGACATCCTTCTCTCTCATATATTCCTCAAAGTTGAAAACATTTGCAGATCTTCTTCAGTCAATTGCGTTTGCCACAGTAATATTTTATTTTGAAAACCATCCATTTTACCTCATAGTGTGAACATACCCTTCAGTTGTCCTTCCAAAGATATATTTAATACATTTAATAGCGAAAAAACAAACAAAAACAAAAAAACATCTGCCTGGTATGCAAGCTAGGCTACTCAAAGAGTTCTTGTAATTTCAGATTATTTTGCTCCTGGAAAAATATTTTTACTTTCGGCAGGGCGAACAGTTGGGCCCCTTGAGAGCCATTTCACCTCCTCATAAAGAACAAGGTGAATATACTGAAAACCCATTTCTTTACAAAGTGCCTCAAATATTCAAGATTCGAGCACTTTGTGTCAAATTGCATTTATAATTTTAATAACATCTGATAATACTTCATATAGCTCTGGGGACGTTTTTGCCGCAAATTGCTCACAATGTATAAATGCAGTGTGTAGACAAAATGGCTGAGGGACCAACATTTTTAACCTTTGAAATAATTACTGAAAGATATCCAGTTTATGGCACCATATGTACATATATCAGAAAAAGAATCAGAATAAGAGTCAAGCCGGGACCAGTTTGGCTCAGTGGATAGAGCATCGGCCTGCAGACTGAAAGGTCCCAAGTTTGATTCTGGTCAAGGGCATGTACCTTGGTTGCGGGCACATCCCCAGTAGGGGGTGTGCAAGAGGCAGCTGATCGATGATTCTCTCTCATCGATGTTTCTAACTCTCTATCCCTCTCTCTTCAACTCTGTGAAAAATCAATAAAAAATATATTTTTTTAAAAGAGTCAAACATTTTATAAACCAGATGGATAAAAAATCAACAACTTAAGAATCAAAAAGAAATAAAAAATGATATAGTTGCAATTAAAAAATATCATGGAGCCGAAACCGGTTTGGCTAAGTGCATAGAGCCCGTGGACTGAAAGGTCCCAAGGTTTGATTCCGGTCAAGGGCATGTCTCTTGGTTGTGGGCACATCCCCAGTTGGGGTGTGTGCAGGAGTTAGCTGATGGATGTTTCTCTCTCATTGATGTTTCTAACTCTCTATCCCTCTCTCTTCCTCTCTGTAAAAAATCAATAAAATATGTATTTTTTAAATACCATGGAAAGTTTCAACAGTAGACTAGGAGAAGCAGAAGACTGAAATAGTGAATTAAAAGATGGGGAAGCAAAACACACCCAAACTTAACTTACAATAAATTGGAGGGGGTAAAATTAAAAGGTAAGAGGAGAGCCTAAGGGAGCTTTGGGACAACATGAAATGAACCAACATATGAATAATAGAGGTGTCAGAATGACAGGAAGAGGAATATGGATTAGAAAACCTGTTTAAAGAAATTTCAGAAAACTTCCCTAATGTGGGGAAGAAAAGAGTGACACAACTACAGAGAGTCCCAAACAAGATGAACCCAAAAGACCCAAACCAAGACACATCGTAATTACAGTGGCAAACATTCAGGACAAAGAGAGAATCTTAAAGGCTGCAAGACAGAGATGGAACATAATATACAAGAGGTCTCCCAATAGATTATCAAATGATTTCTCAACAGAAATACATCCGTCCAGAAAGGAATGGGATGAAATTCCCAAAGTGATGCAAAGGAAGGGACTGAGTTTAAGAATACTCTGTCCTGCAAGGCTATCATTCAAAATTGAAGGGGGAGAGAAGAAATCAAGATGACAGCATAGTGTAGACACCCAAATACAGCCTACCACAATAAATTTGAATTTAGAACTGGAAAACAGGGGAGACATTGCCCTGAAGCACCAGATGGCTAGCTGAGAGAAGGCTCTGCCATCTGGGAAGGAGAGAGAAGGCACACTGAACCTCAGAAACTGTGAAGGTATGGAGAACTGTGCGCAAAAAGGCGCTGGTTTACACACACACACACACACACACACACACACACACACACCCCGGTATGTGGAGAGGGGGGCCGGGCCGAGATTGCTGCTGGCCAACTCTGGGTGTGCAGAGAGGGCGGGCTGGGCTGAGTTTGCTACTGGCTTACTCCTGGCGCATGGATGGAGAGGGTGGACAGCTAATGCGCGACTGGCTTTCTTGTGCGAGAGGAAAACAGAATCACCCTATTGCTCTGATAGATGGTCCCAGTAAGGGAGAGGCCAGACTGTGAGACAGCAGGCAGAAATCTCTTGGAGGTGTGTGAAGCCAGAAGCCATTACTTCAGAACTTGGGGAGGAGCTGACCAGAAAACAAAGCTTATCTGCACCAACCAGAGACTCCGCCCCATCCAAGCTGAGCATAGAAGCTCTCCCAGAAGCTGGCTTTCTCTAAGCAGGGACTGGCTGGAATCCAAAGCTTGTCTGTGCCTTTTTCGAAAGAGGTGCACACGCCTGCAACCAATCTTGTGAGACTCACTGGGAACAGGACTTTTCTAAGGCGAGACTGACAGGGAACCAAAAATTGTCTGCGCCACCCTGAGACTCTGCCTCATCCAAGTGGAGTACAGAAGCCCTCCTAGCTGAGACATTGCTGATCCTCACAGCCAACTGGCTTGGAGATCAATGCTTCCCAGTGATACCAACAATAAGCAAGGCTTAACAACAAGACTGCACACACAGCCCACAAAGGGCTACACCAAGACTGTCCACCACAGGTAACTGGGAAGACTGTGCTGCTGGGCTCTACCAGAACACCTAGCACACAAAACTATTCCATTAAATCAGGAAAACAACTAAAATGCGGAAAAGAGGCAGAACACAAAGGAAGGAGATGGAAGAAAAGAAAGGACATTGAGTTCAAAACTACAGTTATGCCAAAACTGGTTTGGCTCAGTAGAGCATCGGTCTGTGGACTGAAAGGTCCCAGATTCAATTCCGGTCAGGGGCATATATGTTGGTTGCGGGCACATCCCCTGGTCGATGTTTCTTTCTCATTGACGTTTCTAACTCTCTATCTCTCTCCCTTCCTCTCTGTAAAAAATCAATAATATATATATATATATATATATATATATATATATATATATATATATATATATATATTTTAAACTACAGTTATAAGGCTTTTCAAGAATATCCTAAAAAAGGCCCATAAAATAAATGAGACCTATGAGGATATGAAAAGGGATCAACTAGAAATAAAAAGGGATCAACTGAAAATAAAGAAAACATTGTCTGAAATAAAAAATATTATACAGAGTCCTAAAAACAGACAGGAAGATTGCAAGAATCAAGACAAAGATTTAGAACACAAAGAGCCAGAGGACACTCCTCCGCAGAAGCAAGAAGCTAAGAGAATCCAGAAAGTTGAAGATAGTGTAAGAAACCTCTGGAACAATTTCAAGTGAACCAAAATCAGAATTATGGGAATCCCAAAAGAAGAGAGAGAGCAAGATACCGAAAGAATACTGGAAGAAATAGTGACAGAAAACTTCCCCCACCTGGGGAAAGAAATAGACTTACAAGTCCAGGAAGCCCGCAGAACCCCAAACAAAAGGAATCCAAAGAGGATCACACCAAGATACATCATAATTAAAATCCCAAGAGCAAAAGACAAAGAGAGAATATTAAAAGCAGCAAGAGAAAAGCAGGTAGTTACCTATAAAGAAGCGCCCATATGATTGTCAGCTGATTTCTCAACAGAAACTATGCAGGCCAGACAGAAATGGCAAGAAATATTCAAGGTGACGAATAGCAAGAACCTACAGCCAAAAATACTCTACCCAGCAAAGCCATCACTCAGAATCAAAGGCCAGATAAAGAGCTTCACAAATAATAAAAAACTAAAGGAGTTCATCACTGCCAAACCAGAATTTATGAATTGCTGAAGGGGGTTATTTAGGAAGAGGAAAAAGATAAAGATAAAACTTATGAACAACAAATACATAACTATCAACAAATGAAACTAAAAACCAAGGGAA